TCCTGGCACTTAACAGCATATACAACATTGCTCTGTTTGTGCCGGGGCACCGGATCTTTGGGGTGAACCAGCCTTTGCCGTAATGTGTTTTGGGGTTTGAAAGCCACTGGGACATCATGTTTAGAAAATAAACCATGTGATGTGAGTATCAGTCACATGGAGGCAGGACTTAAAAGCCTGAATTTTGCCTGAAACTCTCAGACTGAAGAAGTCTCTTGGAGGAGAGACGAAACGTTTCATTAGAGAAGAACCCATCCAGAAGACCTATACAATTTATTTTTTTATTTTTTTACTTTGGATAACGGCACTCTGAACACAAATATATATTAAAGTTAAGTTTTATAGACAAAAGTCCAAGGAGCGAAATGAGGGAGGAGAGGTTTCACTCAGGACTGACCGCTGCTCTGCTCCTGCAGACTGCTTCACCTGCTGCTTTACTGATCCGCCTCTACTCCGCTCTGATTGGATACAAGTGCGCTGGGCTTTGTTTCATTTGTTGAAAGTAGTGGCGYGACWGGGCAGGTTTAACAACACAGCAAGAGAACCAGTTTTTTTTTCTTCCCTCCCTTACAGATGACGGAAATCCATCCTGGCCACATTCAAAGAGACGGAATTCCGTCATGGTGATGGAGAACTTAAGCCYTGTTAAAATTTGAAGAAGCAGCACCTTACAAGTTCCTCCTCTTTGTCCTTTGCTGTGTTATATTCATTCTTTTATTTATGTTTTTTTTTCAGATAATCCATCTTATATTATAACCATCTGTAAGAACATAGCAACAGTTGTGAGAAATATGTAAAAAATTCATTGTTTCAAAAGTTACCTACTGCAGCTTTAATCATTTTTGTCAGTTTTTTCAAGTGTTGAAAATTTTGAGCAGGTTTTTCCTGGAAAATGAGCAAAAAGGAGTTATACTAGAAGGTAATGCTGGAAACACTTATTTAAAAAAATATTTCAGACCATCTAAGAAGATGCTAATATTTCTACACTCATTTTCTTTGCAGTGGGTCAAAATGGCTTGAAAATGTGAGGAAATAGAGACAACTTACAAATTTAACAGAAAAACAAACAAACAAACAAAAAACATTTTGAATAAATGGGATCTGGAAAAGATGATTCCATGCCCAAAAAGAGGGATAACAGTCATTCAAAAGATTAAAAAGATGACACTCGTTCTTCCTTTTGTTTGTTTGTGTGTGTGTGTTTTTAATGGAATAGATTTTAGTTGTACTCCACTCTCTGATTGCTCCTGGAYGATGGAGCGTGTGTGATTCACTCACATGCAGAGTCCAGCCTGCCCCAGCTGYGTTTGGACGCCACACGGAGAGTCGATCTGCTGACCGCCTTCATCTTTCTGCTCCATCACACCACAAGCATCTGAGTCAGAAACAAAACACTACAGTCTGAGACCAGACCTGAATTTTTACAAAAGATCTTGCTTCAGTTTCAGGACCAACACACACACACACACACACACACACACACACACACACACAC